CAAATTGAGAGCGCAGGAAAAATGCCGTTTGCTCCCAACGTTATCTTATCGGACTAACCCGTTGCAAACTTCTCAAGATTGCCCTACTATCAACTATTGTTTCGGCCTCTGGCCTAAACATATCTTGCGCATAATAAACTACCTACACGGTACTCCTAGTCGTCGACCGACTAGACCCCCCCATGCTCCCCCCTCTCTTGAGCGATAGGTGTGGGTGGGCGGGAAAATCGATCAAATCCTAGAAGGCACTCCTTGATTTTGCTGCTCCTCAAAGCTGCTATCTCTGCTACTCCTCTCCTTCTCTCAAATGCACTTGCTGCTTGTCTCTCGCCCAGCGAGAGCACAAAAACTTTCTGCCACCAGGGCTGTCTCTACTTTCCTTCGATCCCCGCTTTTCCGAATTCCAACACGCCTCCACAAACCACAGATTCAAATACGTACTGAATCTTCACGTTTATGTTTGCTCAAGAATTCTGGATTATTTTTCTGCAGGCAACCAAAGCAAAACCCAAGACACATGAAGCAAATTGAGAGCGCAGGTAAAATGCCGTTTGCTCCCAACGTTATCTTATCGGACTAACCCGTTGCAAACTTCTCAAGATTGCCCTACTATCATTACTATTGTTTCGGCCTCTGGCCTGAACATATCTTACTCCATTAGGCATGTCCGATGACCTACTCCTCCGAACCGCTCCCCGGTCACTCCTCGGGTTCCGTAAGGGCCTGAGACACAAACTTTGCTCCTTCGCCCCCCGCCCTAACATACACCATAAAAGCCGATGAGTTCCACCTCCCGGTTCTCTGGATCTGAATCACCGACGCCCCCATACTTGCTAGATGCGTGCCCTCCCCGATTCTTCCTGAATGCAACGCATACTTCTGTGGGTCTCTACCCGCCGCACTCACGAGTAACCTGAGGTGTCTCGATGCCCCTGCCCTCGAAATCACCTTCCACCTGTCTTGTGCTCACGATTGCATCAACGGCGCATGACTCCCGAGCTCGGGGTGCAGATCTAACAGATCGAGTAACACCTTCAACGCTTCTCCCGATCTAGTGACGGTTGCTCCCAAACGTTTTTGATCTGCTTTTGACGCTCTGAACGTGACTTCCACTCGGCTGGCCTGCCTCCGGTCTGCCCATGCAACCCTTACCGGACCGCAAAAGAAACCCAGGTCTCCTCTTGTCAGACAAAAATCCGAGTGCACGAGCCCCGAGTCGTCCGCCCAGATTTCTGAGGCTCGGCACATCAACAAGTACGAGAAGGCAAGTCCACACCAGACCAACTTCCCTGATTCTCCCGAATTTTCGACCACGCACTTTCCAGCCTCTAGCATGTCCCAAGAAAGTGGATTCCTAACCTTAGGCTTCGTCTGCGCATTGGCGTGGACCCTTTCAATGGTCTTCACCATGGCAAGGATCTGGAAATGCGAAGTGGGCAACTCCCATCCTGCGTGCATCTTATGGAAGCACTTGACGGCTGAGAGATACCCGCGGATAGTCTGACTCTGGTTCTTGTGGCCGAAACACCGGCAAGTCATGAACACAGACAGCTCACGCACCGCACTTTCCACCCCATCGCTCTCGCGGAGCCACGGGCCCGAACCCGCCCCTGCTCGAGCCTCCTTCCACGTGTTCCACATCCTTTGATACACCTTGTTGGTACCACTTCCCAAAGACCCGAAGGTGAGTGCGTTGACCAACCGCTCTCCCTCGACGCTCGTGCCTCCCCGGCCATCCTTTCCCTGTGTTCCTGACATTCAATCATCGGGCATGCACAGCGTGGGGAATGGCACATTTCGAGGTTCCTTTCCAAGGTACGACAAGTTCATGCCGAAACCGTGGATATCCCCGACTTGGCTTGAAGGGAGAACAGAAAAACTTGGTCGTCCAAACCAACTCTGCCTCCCCTGGCTATCCATTGTTTCAAGGCGTCATGAAACAGTGAATGTGAGGCGTGTCCACCGCTCCAACTTCTCGCTATCTCATTTCGTTTGATAATTCGTTGATCGTCCGGAAAAACACGGAGCGGTGTCCATCCGCCCCTTCCGCCGTGTCATATATTTTCTGTTCCATGGACCATAATGTCCCATACCGAGTCGTCCAGACTTTCTTTCGGCAATTTCTTTTGAAGGATAAGGCTGAGCAACGCTCGTCCCCCTTCTCCAATATCCTGCTGTGTCCACCCTGAGTCTTTTGTGAGCATTTTCACGTTGGCGGCGATCTCGTTTTCTTCCCAGCGTGAGATCCCGTCCGCAAGTGTGTCCTTTCGACCAGGGATGTGCTTGGCCACGTGGCATCAGCCGCAAGAAATTTCCATCCTAACAATGAGTCTCATTATGAGGCTAGCGCGCCTGTCACGCGATCCCCCACACCTGATAGTCCAACTGACGGCCCACACGTTGTCTCCACGCATCAACACCGACTGACCTTCTTCTACAGGTCTGTCTTTCAAGATCATTTGGACTACCCACGCTGTCATGAACATGCCCGCGAGTTCTAACAGATTGATCGTAATGTCCGACGTCTCCTTCTCTTGCGCCTTGCACTTGAGCTCCGCAGACAACGATGAGTCGATCGTGTATCTCCAGAAAATCTTTAGTTCGGGACAGTAGCCGCCAATCGCTGTGAAGCTAGCGTCTGAGGGGTAAAGGCGTGATGGTGCTCGTTTTACGTGTAGTAGGAACCTTGCGCTGAGGGACTCCCCTCGAAGTACCAGTTGCTGATTGAGGGCCCACTTCCAGAAGGCGATATCGCCGTGGAACTCTCTACCCAAGTCCACTAGTCGTCGTGACCGT